GGACCTTTCGGGAGAACAGTTTAGAACTGATAAAGCTTTCCTGTTTAGATAAAGTTAGCTTAGTTTAGGTTGTTTCCTCCTGTAGTAACACTATAGATCAATCAGTGTAGAACTGATAAAGTTATCCAGTTTACGTAATAAAGGATGCCCATTCTATGAAGGAAAACGTTTGTCACTTGTTACAGGTGGTGTCGGTATGTGGCTTGGTAGTCAACCTAGCTGGTATTTTTGCATTTCGTCATGCTCATGCGCATGCGCATGGACATTCCCATGGTCAATCACATGGTCATGATGCTGGTCATCATGGTCATAGTCATGGTAGTCATAGCAACCACAGTGGACATGACCATGGCCATAGTCACAAGGGACATGGTCACAGTGGTTGCTCGGATGGTCAATCTCACAAAACTAGTGCTAATATGCAAGGTAATGCGAAAAGCGTGGAATATATGAAATATACTACATGTATTTCCTCACTCTGGTAAGTGGCGACTGACCGACCATCTGCTGCACGACAATGCTTAATGAAACGTATTTTGTCACTCTGATAACTGCCAGTTGATCGCCATCTTCTGAACGATAATGTTTATATAGTGAACCTCATCTATACCGAGACAAAAACATATTGGCTTCATTGTATACTTCTATCGAGTTCCCAACCTTGTGTTTTAAAGCTCCAACTAGACAATCGTACTGTACGTGCATCTATGACGTGCATGCTACTGTACATATATGATATGCTTAAGCTTTGCGACGAAGGGCCTTCGCTCGAATTGTCAAGTAGTTGTATCTCTCTCCATTTGCAGCTATGCTCTACCCAAGGGCAGGAAAAAAGAATTTTCTTCCTGCACACCAACGGAGTATTTTTGTCCTAAATCTGCATGCATGTGTATAAACATGTAGTGGTTCTAGGCTTCTAGCTGATCATGGTTTTAAATTTAAGGCATAATGTCTGTCAACCATATGTTGTTGCGCCCATATATTGGGACATGGGTGTTAAGGTTTTCTTCACATTTTCACTCGCAAATCTTCATTCAAACGAATTTTCAGCGGCTGTTTAACATTTCCTGCGAGCAGTGCTCGCCTATTTTTTCCACCCCTGGCTGTGCCATTCAACTAAATTGTAAATATACCGTTCTTTTTTGTTTACAGTAATATGCTGTATATTTTCTCGACTTTTCTCTCTTTGTGTTCTAGGCGTATTCCTTCATGTGATGGCCGACACCCTGGGGAGTGTTGGAGTCATCATATCCAGTCTGTTGATAGAACAATTTGGATTCCAACGAGCAGATCCTATCTGTTCCTTATTTATAGCTGTATTAATATTTGCTAGCGTAGTGCCGTTATTAAAAGAATCTGCGTTAGTTCTCGCTGTGAGAACACCGAGAGATATACAAGATGAACTAGGGGAAGCTTTGAAAAAGGTAACACCATAGTTTTATATTTTGAGACAAAGATTTATTCTGCTGTGGGTGCTAAATCTCATAATTATCCAGTACTTACTCTGGACTAACAAGGGATCGCTATTATACTGAAAGTCTGTAAATAAAGTTAGTTTATATAGGGTGTGTTTAAGAAAAAGGTAATAGAAATTTAGTGTGCTATTGTGTCCTCAATATTAAGAGCGCAGATTCAATTTTTTTCATATTAATAAAATTAGAGTTTTAGTTTTCGAAAGACACCTTCCTTGTATCATTCCAAGCAAAATTGACTAAACACGAGCCATTAAAAATTGCCGCTCAAAATTACATTTTTCCACTTTTGTGCATAATTAAGTACTGCGTAACAAAAGGAAAAGCAACGACCAATGTAAAATTAATCACAAATGTGTCTTGCCAAGCAAATGACGACATTTTTGAACAGCTATTTAAGTTTATCCCATATGTTATTATTGTTAGAGCTTTTGAAATTAAAATTGATGAATTTTAAAACCAAATGGAATTTTTTCGATAGTTTTGCACCCAATTCCCAACGTTGGAAAAATTTGATCAATTGTGGTTGGCTGATAAAACGAAATAGGTGCATGTCATTCGAAAGCTAAAACTCTAAATTTTAGTATATGGAAAAATTAGATCTGTGCACTTTATATCAGTTGATGGCACAAGAGCATGCTTTTTTATACACCCTATAGTTTTGTTAGCTTTCCTTTTGTAGTAATACTAGAACAATAACGAATGGCCCTCGCTGGACAGTTTAGAACTGATAGAGTCTCAAACTTTGTTTTCTCTATCTCTGTTAGGTTTTGGCCGTAAAGGGGGTGATCAATTTTCGAAATCAACATTTTTGGACGCACTCCGACAATCTTAAAGCGGGCAGTATACATGTCCAAGTCGTCCCGACTGCCATCGAGGCAACCATTATTTCTCAGGTAATTAACTTCGAAGGCTATATCCTTAAATACTGTATTTTCATCATTTTTTTATTTCAAAAGTTTGGAAAATAAAACTTCTATTGATTCCAGACACGGATTGTGGAACTTCTATATCTTCATGTTTCTAAACAGGCTTTCTTTCTTTTCTGTTGTAGGTTACAAATATATTTAAAGAAGTAGGAATAAACAATATAACAGTCCAAGTGGAGAAAGAGATCTTTTTTGAACATATGTCCGTGCTATCCGCTGGATATAAATCTGTCTTGCAGCTGACAAAAAAACTTAATATGAACCCGTTAAACACAGATCTTGAAAGAAACTTTATAAAATCTATATAGTAGAGAATATTTGGAAATCACATCACGAGACTCTGAGCTCCACAAACAATACCGTTGGAGAATAACTTAACAAAAGCTGTGGTGAAAATGTGGTAGATCCTTGGATCGACAGTCATCGACCTCAAAATTGCATCCGAACCGCAACTATGCACAAGTAAACCAACCACAGCAGTGGCGGCTGAACAGTTCTTATTTGGGGAAGAAGGCTAATTTCCATAAATTGTCGGTTTCCTTTCATCTTTCCTGAAATTTTTCTCTAAATTTTATATATAAACTTCAAAATTTGGAATCTTATCCATTTGGGCTTAGCCCCCTACCCCATGCACTTTTGCTGGTTGTTTTTTTCTGGGGGGAGCCCACTCCCCGTTCCGCCGCCACCGAACCACAGTGTTAAATCTGGTTTACACTTTCAAAGTTTCTGTGATCACAATAGGAATTTTGCATAGGCAAATTCTGTACATAAGTTTTGAAGAATTTGTAAGAAATGTTTGAGACTTAGTGTTGGACGCTTAACAGGGTTTATTTTAACGACGTGCAGTTCTACACAAAATGTGCAGTTTTAAACCCATTTGTGCAGTTCTTACAACACAAATGTGCAGTCACCAAACTAACAAAAATAGCCTTAATTAAAGTCTTCTCATTTACTCGTTACTCTTGTGGATGCTCCCGAAAATTCCAGAAATGCTGTCATTAATTGAGCATCAAAAATATAAACGATTTAAATTGGGGCGAGCGAAGCTCCCCAAAATAGATTAGAGTGGGAGAACCTAATATTCTTTGCTGCCTCAAATGCAAATTTAAGGTTGTTATATATTGAATATCCATGATTCCCAGTTACATGTTTTGAAACAGTTTTTGTGCGTGGTTGGCTAAAACAAATCTTTGCCAGAACTTAACAGCCTCTAGATTCAAATTGTTTTGGGAACACTCCTAGCTCCCGCACCCAAATCGAGTTTGTCTGGCTTTTCTCCAATTCTCCCACCTAACCACACCATTAATCTGTCACCTATATGCAGGTAAAAAATCCTTCGACCCCAAGTCAAACACCTGTTGCCTTCGTAACATCCCTATGTGTGCAATTCTAAATTTTTCTTAAAATAAACCCGGGGACCTCGCACATTTCTTGCAAATTCTTCAAAACTTAGAATTTACCTATGCAAAATTCCTACGGTAATCACGGAACGTACTTTGATAGTGTAAACCTGGCTGCCTTTAGGTTATTTATTTTCAGTACTGTATACCCCTCGTAGGCTATCTGTCCTTCATTTACTTGAATATGCAATAGACCTTACAGATTATTCTCTTTTACCCAATGGCCTCGTTTTCATGTCAAATACTTACTCATGTTTTGTGCTTAGTAGGGTTGAAAATTACTTTCTTATTGAGTCTAAGAACAGCAAGAAGGAAAACAGGGAATATAATCTTTATCTGCCCCTAACATGCTAAAATAAGTTAACATGGAAACGAGGCAATTGGGTAAAAGAGAATAATCAGCAAGGACGTAAGGTCTATTGAAATTTGTGACAATCTCGTACCCAGAGCATCACGAGATGGAATTCGTGAAGACCTATAATTGCCATCTGCATTTTTTAAAAATTTAGCACGAGCTTATCAATATCAAGTTCTGTTTATATCTAAGAAAAGTATTTATAGCATTGCAAATATAGTCTGATTTCAAATGATAGAATTTTAAAAATATAAGATGCATTGTATATGTAGTATATAATATTTTATTAATAGTTTATGTGTTTTAATCTTGCAAGTGCGAACTTATTCTAGTGATTTCGGTCGTTTGTTGAAGCGCACATACTTTGTCATCGCACACAAATAAGAATACGACGGGTTTTTTTTTGTTTATATCAAGATTTTGTTGGCATCTCACTGGATTCAACAAAATCTTAATATTTACCCATAACCTAACATGGCTATATCCTTTGAAAATTCATTAATTTGTTAGCGATTCCCAGTAGCCTTTCGCGCTCGTATTCGACTTTTCCGCTTTGCTCGTGGACAACCTTAATTGGAATAGCTGTATACATGAACTTGTGTTAGAGCTCGACAACTGGCCTCTGTAGCTGAGTTGGTTAGAGCGCTGCACCGGAATTGCAGGGCGGCAGGTTCGATTCCTACCAGCGACCTAAAGTTGCATTTTTCGCAGCTGTTCCTGGTTCACGGGTCTAATAAACGGATATAAATTTCTACAAGACCCTTTTGGAAAACAGCGTTTGTTCAAATTGGCGCGCAAGACTAGCGAAATTATCTTCCGTAATTTAATTCGGTTTTAAGAAGTAGGTTTCTTTAATTTTTAACACAGAAGAGACCGCACATTGATACAGTAATTCTATTTTAAGACTATTCTATATTAGCCACAACAACTCTACAATAATCTACAAAGAAAACTATATATATTACTAGACTGGTCCTTCGAGCTGGTTTTGGGGTTCTTGGTTTTCGAGCCGATTTTCTGAACCTGAACCGGAAGCTTTTAACATGAGCTTGGAGAACTTAATCTTCCAATTATTCTCTTCACTTGGATCACGTATAAGTCCAAATGATTGTTCGAACACACCTAAATATTCTTTCTGCCGATGGACAGTCCCACAAACCAACACAACCACCAGTCCATGTGGATTTTGTTTCCCCTTGACGCTGTCAGATGATATATTAGGGTTAAAGTAAAGTCGATCAACAACCACCATAGAAAGGAATTTCTCGCTAACAAGATCTGCACCTTCTACCGTTGTCTCTTGCAAGCCAGATGGTTCCTCACACTGAACAGTAAGTTTTGCATCTTGCCAAAAGTGTTGCGGACCCCAGTCTGGCGGGGTGTCGACCCCTGGGGACGAGTTAGCAAGCGAGTCAAGTAATTTATAAAACCAAGTGGAGAAATGGATAGCTAGTGCCCGTGCTTCGTTTCCATCTGGGATTATTTCACCCTCTGTAGTATTCGTGTTAGAACTGTTAACTCCATTAGCTGTACTAGCATTTAGAGAAGTGTTTGCCCTTTGGTCACTGGGTGCAAGTGTGATTGTTTGGGTGTCATGTTGACCAGACTGAGTTGCTAATTCGGTGACATTAACTGTAACGTTATCCCCTGGTTGAGCCAAAGTAAAGCCTGTGTCGCCCATATCTTTTAAATCTCCCTAAAGTAAGATTTGGAGAAGATTGATTTAAATTCTTCATTTCAACTTCTTTTATATTCTGACATATTGGTATATTTTCTGGTCTACACAAACAAAATTAACTTTATTCATTCTGGATAGGTCTAACAAAGCCTGCGAACAGGCGTTTATTCAGGTCAGCCTAGTAACAGTTCTAAACTGATCTTCCTAGATGTTCAGTAATGGCCGTTCTTTATTGGGTCAGTGTCACTACAGGAGAGGAAAGTGGATATATATGAACTTGTGGTTGGAGCTCGGTTCTGGCCTCTGTAGCTCAAGCTCGACAACTGGCCTTTGTAGCTCAGTTGGTTAGAGTGCTGCACCGGAATTGCAGGGTCGCAGGTTCAATTCCTGCCAGGGAATGAGAAAACGTTCATCTGGAAAATCTTTGAAGTTTACGTTACTTCATGTCAGTATCTGTTCCAAGCTCGTTCAAAATTTTTCAAACACACTTGGCTTTGTGAGTTTGTGCCGCTATGCTTCTTTACTTAACTATGACATTTTCATTCAGCCAGGTACACCATCAAATTGATCAAAATGTCAAATGTATTTATAATTATGAGAATTGAAGCTATTTCATTTCAGATTTATTAATATACTTAGGGAAATAATTGAAAATAATTTCCCTTTCTCCCCAGAATTTGGGCGTCCAATTAGGCATCCACTTTTCGTTCTAGGGGACGCTTGGACGGCCTTCTGGCTAAAAGCCTGGGGACCACCAGCAAGTCCCTAATTATCCATATTTACCCCTTGTTTCTTCAGTCCCCATAGTTTCAAGACCTTCTTAAGCAGTGTATTTTTATCTGCTGCTGGGTGTTCAACATGACCTTCTTGGGCCAGGTACTGGTAGAGGTTTTCTCGTCTCACTTTCCTTCGCCGCAGTAGCTCTTCACTGCTTCTTGTGTAAAGCATGACAGCATTAACAGCTTCTGTTTTTAAAATGTAAAATGTATATGTAGGAACTGTAGTACACAAACACGTTCAGTACCTGAAACCATTCAGCCCAACTCATCAGGATATGCCACACATCGAAAATCGCTCATTTAATAATGACACTGCACATGCAAGAATAGCGTTAATTTTAATCGGCCAATTAAAAGTGGCTGACTAAAATCAATCATGGGTGCCAGGATGACGAATGATCTGTCGATCAATGATAATCTGTCTCTAGTATACTCGTATACAACCCTGACACAGACAATTATTCACAAATGCCAGGGTAATATATGACCATATAATCATATATATACATACCTTCTTTATTTTCTACAGTAACGACTCTTCCTGTAACTGTATCAGTCAATGACAATAAATTATCAAGTGTAAGGAGATCCAGGATTTTAAGGCATTCTTTCTTCTCAAAATCATCCATCATTTACAAGGTTGCAAACTAACCGAAACAGTACTCAAAACAGAAATACTTTTAAAATTTATTTCGATTTCCCTTTCATGGAGAAAAGTTATTAACCACACACCCCTGAAACAATTCGAAAAATATGTATATAGTCATAGTCATATTTTATTATACGGGGGAGGGGATACAGTGTAAATAATAATGCGCGAAATGCTGGCGCGTAAATTCAAAATGGCGGATGAGAGGAATGAAGAAGCAGTTTCAGATATTATTAAAGGTAAACGTATTCTTGTGCTCCCCTCTGTTTCAAAATTAAACTAGTATAAACTATCCTGTACTAATTGTTGTTCTTGTTATGCTCATAGAATCAAAAGAAGCGACGGCTTTGAATGAGGTACAAATTATTGTACAAAACACTTACAAAACTGACAAACTATATTCACACAATTATGTCACAGACTTATTAAACATTTGGCTTGTTCAAACAAAAATTAAATGGTCATGCTAACATAATTCTAACTTCTCACTAGTCAAGTGGCAAGCAAGAAACAAAGTGCTCAATGCTAATCCAGAATCGTAAGATTTCATCTCAATTTACTTCTCCTGTAACTAAGCGTTCTTCTCCAGATTCTGGCAAGGTAATTGCTGTGAAATTGCGCGTATATCATGTATGTATGGAAGTAACAACATTGGCCAAATTTACAGTAGATATTGATAATTATTGATATGGCTGTTTTTATTTCATACAATATCTTACTTTGGTGGGATGACATTACGTTCAACAAACTGTATGTTGCATTGACGCATTTATACAACCTTAATCACTTAATGACGTCTATTAACGTTTATATTTCCTATTTATATTCTCTAACTACATTGGGCAATGCTAACTATAGGTCAAAATTGACAAAAACATTTCCATTCCAGTCAGGTGGGATATGATGTATAAATCATATGGAAAATTTTGTCCCACCTCACCTGACTGAGACCCCACCTACACACGTAAAAATGCGCAATTTGTAACGAAGGATGTGTTTGCATTTCTTGTTCCCAGCTTGTTGACAAATTCTCAATGGCTTGTTGACAACTTGCTACAAGGTTGTTGAGCGCAACAGACTTGTACGTACAAGTTGTGAGGTACAACCTTGTAGCAACTTGATAAAATAACACAGACCTGTCAACTCTCCCGGTGTTGCCGGGAGACTCCCGGTTTTGACCTTTTTCTCCCGGTTTCAAGGTATTTTCTCCCGGGTGCTTGTTTTAATTGTTATGAGGTAATGGAATATTTTCCAGATTCAATTATCTGGCAAGAAATAGTAATCGTGTGAAAATCACTCGTGTCCAAGCTGAAACTTACTCCATGAACCACAAGTGTTCGGCTTTTTTATCCAATTTCGCACTATAAGCGATAAGTAGATTATTGTAAGGATATGAGATGTAACGTAGGATCTCAAAAACTAGTCGCATTCTTGTCATTTTAGCATTAAATTAAATTAAACAAGTTGTTGAAGCGAATGCAATTATAATGATTATAAAGCCGGGAAGATGATAAGAATTTTTTACTGTTTTGAACTCTGCATATGACTTTAAATTGCTCTCCCGGTTTTTGATAAAATCTCACAGTTTTTTAAGGGCTAAAAAGCGAAATCTCCCTGTTTTAAAATTTTAAGATTGACAGGTCTGAATAACAGCATCGTTACAACTTTTTGACAAGCTTGCTACAAGCCTGTTGCGAATGCATATTGTTGACAAGATTTTTATGTGTGTAGCACAAGATGTGATCTCATCTAACTTTGCTGGCCTATTTTTCATATTTGACACAAGGATTTTTATATGCATTAGCAGTGACATGCGGATCTCACTCAAACAAGTTTCACAGTTAGCTGGGCTTGCACATGTCATTAAATGAATGATCGGTGGTTAGACAAATGATACATCTTGACAGGGGCGGTGCTAACCCTATTTGAATGTGCAATTTTTTCGAGTCATTTCCACTACTGCATATTAAAATTTTTTCCACTAATTATTATTTCTCTTCTCAGAATTCTTGGCGTGAAGGGGGGGGGGGGTTGTTGCGTCTGAAATATCTTCCGGATATTATATTTTTTTATATATCTTTTGGTTGACATACTCGTTTACTTTTTCCTTAAATGTTTCCATAAATTTCCCCAAATTTGAGCTATAATTATTAGTTTTTATTATATAAAGTATAGTGCTTTATAGAGATTTCGAGCACTGATAAAAGTGATAATCTCACATGTAAGATTATTCATGATAATCTCACATGTTAAAATTATCGCTTTTCAATTATTGCTTTTCTGTAAAAATTATCGCTTTTCAAAAACTGTCCTTTATATAATAAACAGAAATTCAGGGGTGCTTGGAAATACCAGATTTATTTCTCGTGTTGAACATGATATCTAACTCATTCGCTGCGCTCATTCGTGAGATATCATGTTCGACACTCGAAATAAATCTGGTATTTCCGCATGTATTGTTCTCTATTTAATCAGCCACCCCTGGATCTTGATGGTTGGTCTCTGGTATTGGGCAGTTCACATTCATGAGATGATAGATTCAGTTCATATGTTTTCCTGTAGATACAACAAAGTTTGCGTACTAAAAGAGCAAAGTATAACTCTAAAGGTATGGCAGTGGAGAGACTTTAAACTACATGCATTTTTGGCCGAATGTACCGGCGTGTGTTCATTTATAATTTGATTTCAATCCATATAGATGGTGATGGCAATCAATCATACAAAGAGGCGAATGAAAAGAAAGAATTAGAGAGTGTTCTTAGAAAAAAAGAGGATACACTAAGAAAGCTGAAACTTGTGAAGATGTACAGAGCTAAGGTAATAGTAAGACCACTTTCACAATACACACAGGTTTACACTACATTCACACCACACCGGAGCGAAATAACAGGTCTTAAAATGTCTTGTGCAGGCCCTTCTGACAAAGTGTCCGATGACTGTGAGTTAATTAGGTCGGACATATGTATGATGATGTCCGATGCATGACCTTCAGTCTGGTTCGGAAATAAGTCCGAATAACACAAATTGATATCAGCACAATGTATTAACTCGATCTGAACAAAATGCTGTGAATATATTAAATAAAATGTGTCATTCATACTTATTTCCAAGCTAAAATTAACTTGCTTGCCAATAACAGCAGTAAGATTTCGACAACTTAAGCCCGTTTTCCACTTCACCATTTTGCTCGCGCCCAGCGCTCAATTACATGCAAACAACATTTCCAGTTCACCTTTTATACATTACTCAGATTCTCCATTTTACATTTCACATACGAGCCTCTAGTCCTGGACTACGGTACATTTTGATTTACGTTGGACAAAGCTACAGTTCGGTCGGATCGACACCAATACACTCGGGTCGGACAAACAACTATAAACCTCTGTGTTTCACTTAGGTCGGACAGAATGTCCGGTATAGTTTCCTCTCTAAACTCTACGTCTGACAATTTCACGAATGGGCCGTGACCGACCAATATTTTAAGGCCTGGATAATGCCGCCAACATCCCCACTTTGCAACTTGTCTCGCAACGAAAAATTGCGCGGCAAGTTCAAATAGAAGTTGAACATCAGTCTACTTTTCGCAACGCTGCAGAATAAGTTGCTATACGTGTAACATGGTTTTTGCAACTTGTCTCGCAATTTTTGGGGAAAATTTCGCACGCAGTCTGATATGTGGCCTGAAATCAGCCATCAATAACGCACATTGTGTTGCATATTGCAAAGAAAAGGTTTGCAAGCGGTACAAAAAGTAACGGCGTTTGTGTTGACACGAAGCCGCCTGAACCGCTCCGTTTTTATCTCGCTCCGTTTAGAAACCGTGCTCAAATTGTTACGGCCAATTGTTTCAATTGTTTTCAAACAACTTCGCTCCGGCGTAATGTGAACGTGACGGCTGATTGTGACTTTTCTGCGCCGTTTTAGTAGCTAAACCGCTCCGTCGTAATGTGAATGTAATCTTAAATATTCATTTATCTGTATACATCTTACTACTGCGTAGTTGAACTAGTACTGGTACAAACTATGTCTTCAAGTGATGAAGTATGTCAATTGTCAAGTAGCTATAGTTTTCTAGGTTTCTAATATTCATTCAGTAAGTTGAAACTATCAGGTTTTTTTTGGTTTTTTTATTTTTCCCCATGTACAATAAATTTATGTGTAGTATATTTACAATAATTGTAGAGTGCGGGCTAGAGACCTACTAGAAATCTTAGTAGACGTTTTATTTAGGTCTCTAGTTATGCTAGTTTGTATTATATTATGTAATAAATTATTTACAGTCAATCACAATATTAAAGGAATATATATATATATTTACAAGAGAGAAAAAGAAGAGAAATTGTTCTTATTATAGAAGTGAATATTTACAAGAGAGAAAGAGAAGAGAAGTTTAAACAAGAAGGAACACAATTGCATATACAAATCATTAATAACACATACATTCAATTGACTCACATTGCCCAGTGTCATCTTGTTCCATTAGCCCAATCATGTTTCATGCCAAGACATGTCAGATTTACACATATACCTACTTAACTTTGGTGTTGAATACCTGCATGAGAAAGGTTGGTTTGCAGGTCTTACGGTACCAACAAAATGTAAGCACGCAGAGAGTGAAAGTATGCTGCGCACCTACATGGTATTTGCTGAAAACAAAGACCAGACGCACTCAACAGTTTAAACTGAGCTTTTATGTACAAAACTGTTATTGTTAATAACATGGTTCCTAGTTACTTGTCAAGACAATTTGCGAGGCTCTAATCTCCATTGAAGAGCACATATTTTAATTTGTGAAATGTATCTTGTGTTTTAAATAAAGATGTCAATCAATCAATAAAAAAAGTGCCAGACTGTAATAGTGGCGAAACAAACCCCCCCCCCCCGCCCCCTCCCCCAAGTACGCGAATTATCGCACCCTATAGGCGCACAGGTACGTTTTAAGGCCCTTTTACATTTGTTATTTTTGCTGCGATTTTCTTTTGATGGATGTTCTGATGAAGCTACATGTATAGAGGTGTGTATCGGATCGGACGTTTATAATCCGACAATTGACCACTTGCGTAATAGACTAAATTTTAATCTAGACAAAAAATTCATCACAAACAAATTTGTCATTCAAGTGGCAATATTTAAACCAAATATTTCGAATATCGAAGTCTGATCCGATCCGATTCGACTGGCAACTACTTTATCAATCCCAAATGAATATTTTTGTTCCGATTTTAACTCCCGAAATCCGATCGGATTTGCACACCTCTAACATGTACTCAGAACATTCGTAACTCATCCACTCGTTCACATCCATCAGAAGGAGAAAATCGCAGCAAATATTGCAAATGTAAAGGGGCTCTAATTGAGCTCCCTATGTCGTAAGTTCCGTGGTATCCACTTCATAAAACTAATACTAACCATCTGCCTTGCAGAACAACTTAACCGATCTCGAAGAGCTGATAGAGAAATGGCGTTCTATCTGTCAACAAGCTGCAGAAGACTTGTACGGGAAATTTAATCAGGCGAACACGTTGACCATGGGAAAATTTCTGGACGGTTTGCGAGTGAAACATGATTTAATACGATATTCTGAAGACGAGGAAGCATTCTATTGATAGACAATGTATGAAAAACAATGGAATTTTTATGGTAGGTGGAAATTATCTTTGAGCACTGCAGCTGTGCAGTAGATGGTGGTCAACCATTCGTTGTCGGAGCTGAGAAGATAAATATATATTTACACCGGTTGCGAGGTTCGGGTGAGAAAACTGTGCCCGAGGTCTTTAAAACCGCCCGAGCCCTTTTAGTTTTATATAGATTAGAATAGGAATGTTCGGTATGAGAAATTTCCGGTATCGGTATACCGAAAAAATTATACCGATATTATCGGTATACCGGTTTTCCTTTGATAGTTATAAAGGAAAATTCTTTAATGGAAGTTTGAAAGAAATTTTGAGTAATTCTAAAAGGGAAAACGATCATTTCGAAGCTGTTTCGAACATGTTTCGAACGACATGCACGTACTCAGTGTAAAATGTCACTGAAGTGGAAATTCTAAATCATTGCAGTAGAAAGTTCTTTGAATTGCCATTCAGTAGTAAAATAAAGGTTATGGTTTCGCCATATATAGTTGGTAAATTTAACACGGTATACCGAAAAATTCCGGTATACCGAAAAATTCCGGTATATCCGAAATTTCGGTATATCGGTGTGGTTGAATATCCGGTATCGATATACCGATATTGATTTAATACCGATATTTTCGGTATATCGATATACCGAACAGTCCTAGATTAGAATGGTGATTATAATCAATCCTTACTGCGATCACTTGCTTCAAATTTTGCTAATATTTGAGGGCAAAACTAGACCTGCTGGCAAGTAAATTTTATTCCGGGCAACCAATTTTCATGTCCAAACTTGCCCTAATCGCACTGTCTAAAGATGCCCACCAATAGAAAATAAACAGACGTAAAAGTCACAAATCCATAAGTATATTTATGATCTGTTAACTTGAATCAAACAGGGGTACGAAGGTCGGATAGCGTTATCCGCCAGAGAGTGATTTTTTCAGGCTTTCTAAAATTGTCTGCTGATTGCTATAACCCAGATTAAGATTGTGAGGACCACATCGGTAGCGTGATAGCTCTTCAAGCATTTTTTCAAGGTTGAAAAACTCACTATCCAGCGGTATCCGACTGTCGTACAATCGGCCTCTGATCCCAAAGGGCAAAGCTAACACAGCATATTTTGCGTTTTTATACGCTGAACAAACAGCACCGCACACGATTAAAGTAAGAACATCGATTTATAAAAGATTTATTAGTTCACTGAATGGAATCTGTATGCAAAGTGAATTCATATTAAAGAGAATATTTTATGCAAAGTACATCATGATTATAAAAAGTTCTTAAATTGAAACCGTTCATACGTGCAAAGAAATCGTATATACACATATACATCAAATAATTGCGTAGTGGATATATGAATAATTTTGCAATTGATATAATATATTAAAATATAGAATTTGAAATATAGAAATATAAAATAAATTCTTTGAACTGTACACAAATTTTTAAGACGAAAATTTCTATACGAAAATTTGAAAAGGTCTTTCGCTACATTTCTTGGTCATCGGGGTCATTTAACATGGCTTCGCTTTCGGCATTGTCATCTCGAATGTAAACGCTTGGAACATTGTTGTCGAATGTCTGCTGTGTTTCAACACTCGAGGCGGAGTTGTTGTCGACCTTTGTATAACCGTTGGTTGAACGAGACTTACAGAGGCCAAGTAATGCGAATATAGCAAGTAGCGATAAGCACGTTGCCATTGATATTAAGATGAAATGGTTTTCAAGTTTCGTGGGTGCGTTGCTTTCGTCGTTCTTGTGAGGAAGGGCCGAACGATCTGTGATGTTTGCGAATGTAGGACAATCTGAGTTACAAAGTTTGCATTTCTTCGTGTCTTCGTCCAGGATGTGATTTATTGAACACTGTTGTACGCAGTTAGTTCCCTCGAGGTATAGATCCATGCGACATGACGTGCAGGCGTCGGGTCCAGCCCGCGTGCAGGTTGCGCAAGATGGGTGACATCGCTCGCATTCTGGAATGCCATTAGAGTCCCGTTCATACATCCCCGGCGGACAGTTCTTCACACAAGTGAAATTGAAAAGTTTCCGATTATCATTACAGCTCAAGCAATCTTTACTAGTTGCTCCTTTGCACGTCTTGCATCCTCTGTCACACATATAACATTGCCCATTGTTCCTGTACTCGTCTTCACCGCACGAGGATAAACATTGAGATAAGGAATATGACAGTCCCTCCACACAGCTCGTACAAGCCTCTTTTCCTCCACCAGAACAGGTTTTACACAACGGATGACACGATTCGCATCGCGACGTCTCGGGGTTTCTGTACATTCCGTCACCGCAAGATTTCTTACAAACCGAACCCTGTAGACTGTCTTGGCTGTCTTTGCAAGATAGACATTGATCACGTGTTGCACCCATGCACCGGTCACAAGATTCGTGACACGGGACGCACGCGCGTTTCATGCGATCTAACACGTAACCCGGTGAACACGTTCTTACACACATTGTTCTCAAGAACCAACGGTGATATGCATTCCTTACAGCTTAACAAACCATTGCCTATAGTAAATGAAAAGTATTAAAGATGAATACAGATGCAATTCGCAGAGATTTTTTGGATATAATGAGAAACTGATCCTGAGACTAGAGATGGGCAAAAGACGAAGAAGTGAGAGAGATAGAGTGAATGAACTGTATTGCTCTGTAGATGCAATCATCAGAGCAAGCGCCTTTCACCTCTGAGATCGTGGGTTCGATTCTCGCTACGGACTCATGCATGACATTTATGTGAAAAGAGTCAACGCTCTGCCGAAAGTCGTGGGTTTTCTACGGGTACTCCGGTTTCCTCCCACAGGGAATGTTGACAGGGTGGGTTGGGATTATCCAGAGACGGATTTTCATATTTTCGTTCGGGGGGGTGGATAAATATCTGGGGGGGTGCTGCTGCTTGCTTTGGCCGGGGCGTGGTGGCAACGCCGGGAAAGGCCAAGGAAAAAGTTTAACAAAATTTGTTTTCTAGGCCTGCATGGCGAGATCTGAGACCATAATATTGGTAATTTTACAAATTTAGTAGTAAGAATAATCAAATATGAAACTATCAAATCAAAATATATGTAATTTGCGGGGGTGCCAAATGCCTTTGGGGGGTGCAAATAATTTCTGG